CCAGTCTGGGCGACCGAGTGAGACTCCAACTCAAAAAAAAAAAAAAGAGGGCAACTAAATACAAAAAGCAAAATTAAAGCAAGGAGATGATGATTAACATGAATTGGCCAGATATGGGGAACACTTAATTCTTAGGAAATGATAAAAGTATGAAGCATTTGAAGCTAGCCAGCCTGCTCCTGAGGTCCTGAGGACATCCATAGCTTTGAATCTGAAGTTTTTATTTCCACCAACTCCCCTCGCCTATCACCAGCCCATCATCTTCAACCAAGTTCCCAGAGATAAAACTTCCAGATTTTTTTTTTTTGAGTTGGAGTCTCACTCTGTCACCCAGACCAGGAGAGACCACTGCAGCCTCGACCTGCTGGTCTCCAGTGATACTTCCACCTCAGCCTTCCAAGTAGCTGAAACTACAGGCGCACACTACCACACCCAACTAGTTTTTTTTTTTTTAATTGTAGAGATGAGGTCTCGCCAAGTTGCCCAGGTGGGTCTCGAACCCACGGGCTCAGGCAATTCACTCACCTCAGCCTCCCAAAGCGCTGGGATTACAGGCTAAGCCACCAGCCCAGCCAACTTCCAGATTTCTTTGCCGTTTCCCCATAACTTTCCTTCTGCCTGGTTATAATTGTAGTTTTCTATTCTTTTAACCCTTTGGTAGGTTCTCTATCTAGATGGTACTTTGTAGTGATTCTCAACCCTATCCTAAACCTCTAGCATAACTTTGCTGTTCTCATTATTTCTGAAGATAAGGAAACTAACTCCTTAAAAAGTAACAGATGTCAAGTTATTTTCCTTTTACTTGAAAGTATATCACCACAGAGTGATAGATAGTAAATAGAAAAAAAGTGTACATTTCTTGAAATTTTCATCTTGCCCTTCACCTCAGGTATGAACCTAGTAAATACAAGCTCAAGGTCCAGCTGAATCTTCCCTCCTCCCTCATATTCACTCAGGCTCCTATCATATCAGTCTAATAAAGCAAGTTTCACAATAGAGAAGCACTCGTGAGATTTGGGAACCAATCAGGGCTACCTCATTCCCCAGGGAACACTAAGAACTGAACATGTGAGGAGGTGAATCGCCTCTTTCTTTTTCTAATTTACTTTTTAAATAAAAATTTTTTTTTAACTGAATATGGGCTAGGAAGGAAGCATCTTGGATTGGGCCTCCAATGAGAGGTCCTTCCTCCCCTTCCTCACATCCTATGTCCTGAGACCCACAGTGACACACACATTCAACTCCCACACTTTATTGGGACAGAGGAGGAAGGAGGCAGACCAACATCACAGGCTCACCCACCAGGGGTGTCCAGGCTTCAGCACCTAGTACAGCAATGAGTACATCATCAATACAGGCAACATGGGGGGGGGGAATTCCATACACAGGAAAGAAACTAGAGGCCTTTCTGGGCAGGGAGCCAAGGCGTATACTGTACTGGCACAGTCCACTTATGGGTGAAAAGGAAGAGGACTAGATTTCCATTTGGCAGGAAGACGTTCTCTTATACAGACGGGGAAAAAGGAAAGGGATTGCATGGAAGGCAATTCCTTTTATATATTTGGAAGAACAGCAGATTTCACCTTACAGAGGGGCATGGGAAGGAAGAAGGAACGCTTATTTTAAATATTAGCAGAAATGGCTAGCGAAAGAAATGTCATTTTGCAGACAGAAAATGCTTCTGGGATAGTTGGTTTACATGGATTAGTGTTCACTGGCCATTCCATTCCCAGGTGACAGGAGGGAGACACATAAGCAGGAAGGGCCCCTGGGCTAGAGAACAAGGGAGGTATACCCCACAGGCACCAGACCCTCCACACCATCCCGCCCACAACGGAGCCAGTCCTCATCCACTGTGGCGATGACACGCAGCACTTCCCCACGCTGGAAGCTCAGCTGGTCAGGTCCTGCAGCAGTGTGGTCACAGAGAGCCCGAACTGCCCTGAAGGTAGCCAAAGGAAGATACTGGCGTGAAGTGAGGTGGGAGTGCCCAGCTGTCCCCAGGCCTCACCACCCACTGAATGGAGGGCCCCTGTAGGTCAGTGAATGTGGACTGGACTCTGGACCATCCATCAATACATTGATTATCTCGGGGGCCCTCGCCCTCTCCTGAGTTTCAAACCCATTCTTCAGCCGCTTATTTCACGCTCTGGTTTTCTCGCTGGTGCTTCAGATTCAACATACGCAAACTACACAATTCCTCTCAACCCTCAAAACCAGTCCTCCCTTTGTGTCCCCTCTAGTGACAAATGGCACCACTGTCTACCCACTTGCTCCTGGTAAGAACCTGGGCACCTCATGCCTCACATCCAACCCATCACCAGAACTTGCCTCCTGTTCACACTGCCTACCCTCTGTTGACTGTTTCCCTTCAACTCTTCTGCTGCTGTCTTTTAGGTTTCTGGCCTCTCTCTGGACCACCGCATACAGCCTAACTGGTCTGCATGAACCTCTCTCAGTCTTCCTCCCTAGCCCCATTTCCCACACAGCAGTCAGAGATCTTTCGAAAACAAGCAGGCACATCACTCGCAGTCTTAAGGCCACTCAGAGGTCCCACTACCTCAGAGTAGTCTAGGCTCCCGAACAGGCCCACTGGCCCCTCTAGCCTCACTGTCATTGCTGTCGGTTTCCTCTACTCCAGCTGTCATCACTATGTAGTTGTTCATTTATTCATTAACATCTCCGCTGGACCATAAGCTCCTTGAGGGCAGGGACTCCAATGTTTACCTTTGTATTCCCCCCCCAGCACAATGCTTGGCATGCAGTAAGTACAATCATGCACCACATAATAGACCACATTCATGACAGCAGTCCCATAGATTATGATATTGTACCTTTACCTTTTCTATGTTTAGATACAGACCTGTAACATTGTGTTACAGCTGCCTACAGTATTCAGTACACTGAATAGTATGCTGTATGTTTGTAGCCTAGGAGCAATAGGCTGTAACCTACAGCCTAGGTGTGTAGTACCAGGTGTGTGTTGGTACACTCTACAATGTTCACACAATGACACAATCACATTTCTCAGAACGTATCCCCTTCAAGCATAACGACTTGAAAATTACTGCTGAATGAATGAAAAATCGAGATGCTTAGTTGAATGGACTGAACCTAAAAGAAAAAAGACTCCAAAGTAGAAGCAACCCCTGGTGTCAAAATAGAAGACTCCATAAAGGGATGCACAATCCCTCTGTGTATACACAATAGTGAAAGATCACCAACTGGGGACCTACTATATTAGTTGGAGTCCCAGGCTGGAGTGCAGTGGCATACTTATGGCCTCTGCAGCCTCAACCTACCAGGCTCAGGCGATCCTTCTTCAGCCTTCCAAATAGCTGCATCTACAGACGCGTACCACTATGCCTGGCTAGTTTTTTTTATTTATTGTAGAGACAAGGTCTTGCCAAGTTGCCCAGGCTGGTCCCGAACCCTGGGCTCAGGCAATCCTCTGGCCTCAGCCTCCCAGAGTGCTGGGATTACAGATGTGAGTCACCACACCCAGTGCTTTTATGAAATTATGTTGAGTCTTCACAACAAAATCAATGTAAATTATCCTCTTTCTACAGAGGAAAAAAACCAAGGCCCAGAGAAATTAGTATCACACCAATGATAAATAACAAAGATGCAATGCAAACTAAGCACTAATACCCTAAAAGCCCAGGGTCTTTTACACTGCCTCCTGTCCACTCTGAAGACAGCAACACTCTCAAACACCACAGTACACCTGATTACACACCAGCGCATTCTTCCCAACCCTCCTTACCTATGGGACTGCGCCGGGTTGGGCACTGAGGCCCCCAACTCCTCAGAAGGTGTCTCAGGAGATGCCCCCCGTGTTACCAAAGCCAACACACTCACTGTTGGGGGCAGCCAGCTGGAAGGTCTCCTGGAAGAAAGGACATAGAGTCACAGAGATCACTCCATCTTCAGAAAAAGAACCCAAGAACCTAGGGGTTTGAAAGGAGAGGCCAAGGGGCCTGGCTGTAGTTTAAAAGGGGGAAGAGTGGCAGTTGTGGGACACAGGCACCGTTAGGATGACTTGGGAGGTGACAACAAAGGTCCACAATACCAAAAGTCGCAAGGAACCTATGGAACCAGCTGGACAGGCTCAGGGAGAACCAGCAGGTGGGTGACTACAGAATAACTGAAGCCAGTCAAGAGCGACCGATGGTTCAGGCCTAGAGTAGAAGTCAGCACATTTTTCCTTTTTTCTAAAGTCCAGGTAATAAGTACAACTGACCCTTGAACGGCACAGGTGTGAACGTCATGGATCCACTTATACGTGAATTTGTTTTTCAACCAAACACAGATGGAAAAATACAGTTTTTTCTTGGTTTTTTGTAGACACTGACTGTAAGACTTGAGTATGCTCAGACTTTGGTACATGTAGGGGTCCTGGAGCCAATCCCCTACTTACATCTAGGGGTGACTGTATTATAGACCCTGAAAACCCAGAGGCAAAATCAAGCACATTGTGTAGGTACTTATAAAGCCATTAAAAAGTAACCATTTTCAGCTCACAGCTATAGAAAACAGGCTGCCAACCTCAGACCTAAAGGAGTGGTGTTTCAAATGAGGCCACTGGGGGAGCTAAGAGTCAGAAGGTCATGGAGGAGACAACGCACCCCATTACCTGGACTTTGGGGCTCCACTCTCATTTTCTGCAGGGCCCCCAGGCACTCCAAACAGTCTCCCCAGCCACACGCCTCTGCCTGGGACGGATGCCTCTGCGGATGGGGGTCTCTCCTGTGCACTTTCAGTGGCAGTCCCATGATGCCCGGGGCCCCACCGGGGAAGAGGGAAGCCCTCGGTGCCCCCAGAGGCATAGACCCGGGAGGCCTGGGTCAGCTGTTCCCACCAGCTGCCTGCTGTGGGAGGGCTGTGGGGTGCCGAGGGGTCTGGAGCAGCCTCCCTGGGAGTCCCCCGGAGGCTCTGGGCCAGCCGCCCCCCCCAGTGCAGCATGGCTTGCACGGTCTGCTGCAGGGCTGGCGGTGGACCTGGAGGGGCAGGGGCCTGAGGCGGGCCCAGGGGCAGGTGGTGGTGGTGCTCAAAGAGCAGGTCGAGGTGGAAGGTGAGCACCGACAACGGCTGCAGCAGGAGCAGCAGCTCTGTGGACAGGGAAGGGCAGCCACTCCGGGCCAGGGAGAAGAATCCTGTGGGCAAGTACAGGAGGGACAGCAGGCCTGGAAAAGAACAGGCCATCAGTTCCCGACCTGGGCCCAGTCCCAGAAGAGTCCCATCAGCCCACCAGCCAGCAAACATCCTCCCAGGCCTCGCTCTGTGCTAGGCACTGCAACAGCGAGAGAGGGACACGGTGGGATCTAGGACTGATGCATCCCTCCCTGCCTGTGTGGAACTAGCCTTAAGACAAGAGCAAGTGGTGAGAACTAGAAAGGAAGACAGAGAGTTGCAGAAACACACACACAATGGGGTGGAGACTGGCCTAGCCTGAGGCGGGAGGTGGGGCCCCACTGAGGAAGGACTCAAAGGATGAAAAAAAGTTCATGAGGAAGCAAGCAGGCAGGCAGGCAGGCAGAGAGGCCCATTCTAGTTGGAGAAGCAGCATTGGCAGGGCCCTGGGGCCAGAAGAGCCAGACAGGAAGACTGCTGGCGAGACCAGGAAAGCCCTGGACCTCAAGGTGGGGCAAGAGGGCAGAGGCCAGATAATCAAGGCTTTGGGTCTTCCTTCCTGAGAGCAGCAGGACTCCTTGGAAGAGTTTTAAGCAGAAAGAAGAGCAGTAAGATCAAAGGTCTGGATTAACACCCTTCTGGCCTCAATGGGAACCAGCAAGGGAGATGCCCCTCCCTCCCCCGGCCCATTGACCACCTTCTCCCATCTGAGCCTCTAACCTGCATCTTCCTGGAGACTGGAAAACCACAGCTCCAGCTGCTTCGTGCTGGGGGAGAAAGGAAGCAAGGAAGACGTTTAGGGAGCTGGGGGCTCCAGCGAGAAGAGGCTGGGGGAGAGGAGTCCTTCTCTGAGAACACGGGCACCACTACTGTGTCCCGCCCAAGACGTCCCTGCAGCCCCCACTGAGGTCGTGGCCGGGCGGTGGCAGAGGCAACTCACTTGAGGAGGCCCAGGATAAAGGCGTGGAAGCGGCTGCGGCTGCTGCTCAGCGGGGCCAGGCGGCTGACCTGGCCGTACAGGGCTCCGAG